AGCTCCGCCGCAGAAATAACCGATCGCCGCCATGGCGAGCGGAAGCAATTGCAGATCGGTAGCCCGGAAAACTTGGTGGCACGCCAAGAACCAGCCAGCCAAACGCAAGCGACGCCCTCGGTTATCGCACAACGTTTGCAGAGAGCAACGTGCGGACACCGACCTGTGTCACCGAGGCACCGGCTGCGAGTCACCGTCGGCCTGGCAGGAAGAAGCTTCTACACCGAGGCAGACATTCGGAAGGCACATGCAAGCATGCGTAACTACGCCGAGCAGCTCAGGTCAATGCCAAAAAGAATGTCGACGAGGTATGCTGGACACTCTACGAGAAACACTGGCCGGGCTGTCCAAAGCTCAGTGTCGGGCAGCAACTTCCAGCAAGAGCTCCATGGGACGCGTGCTTCCATCACACAGGCCTCTGGGACAGCTCCTACGGCATCATAATCGTGGCCGACGGCAAATTTTGGCACCCGGCAACCATGAGCAGCCGCTGCACCAAGTACAGAAACCTGCTTATTCTACGACGGAAATCTGCAGACTACGTGAGCTAGCCACAGCGATCCAAGCTGACACAACTCGCGATCGGTTCAAAAGAAAGAGCCACATGGAGACATTCTCCGGAAGGGTATCATCCCAGTGCCTGCCAGCCTGAGAGTAGCAAGACGTGAACATCCGAGGGGATCGGCGCGAGAGAACACCCAAAGAACGAGCATGAGCCTATCCAGTCGACATTTAGTGCTCGAAATCAGCAGAGACCATGCCAGGAACCATCCAGACCAGGACTGTCACCGAAAGGCACTCGCCGAAGACAATCAGCAACAACTGCTCTCGTGTGAGTCGCGGCCGTGAGGTCATGCCAGCCCTCCTCCAAAGCGCTGCTGAGACAGAGGCCGCACGGAGCAGCAAGAACATGGCACATACCCTCCACCCGAATCAAGCGAGCCAGCCAACACACAGGCCAGAGAAATGCCAACGGTGCGCGTCGGCCCCGGCTCCTCAGACCGCAGACGTTGCAGAAGCATTCCGGCCCGAGCAATATCGCATCACTACAAGAACTTGCGGGGCATGAGCGCAGGCACAACGACGCCGCCAGCATCACAAGCAGCCCCGTCAACGCCGGCCCTGGCGGCAATGACGCTGAGCACCCTCCACGACGTCGTCGCCTCAGACTTCGCCCCGCCTTTGGAGGTCGCCCTCGAAGAGGAAAGAAAAGCGCAGCGAGCGCTGGTGATAGCGGAGAAGGTGCTGCTCCTGGCAAAGAGCGAGCGGGACGCCTGCAAAACCAGGAAGGCCATGGCGACCCAAGACGTCGTGGCCGCTCGCATCAACCTGAAAGAAGCGACGCGGGATGTCAAGCAGAAGAAGACGGAGGACACGGGAGGCAAGAGACACACCACCAAGGACAAGCACAGGCCCAGCAAAAGAAAACGGGAGGCAGCCCAGCCACGGGCACGACGTCATCGCCGACGGGAAGTGACCAGTGACCAGCTGCGCACCAGAAGCGGGCGAGGAAGAAGATGGGGAACAAGAACAAGAAATCAACGCAGTCGCGGAGACTCCCGCAAAAGCACCAGAAGTCCCCCGGCCCGACAAGGAGTGTGACAACAATGGTCACCGTGACCATCTCCCCCCCCCCCCGGCCCACAACGAGTGTGACAACAATGGTCACCGTGACCATCCCCCCCTCCAAGCCCCACCATCCCGGACCACCCCCCCCCCCAGGATGGTCACAGAAATGGTCACTTAGACAAACAAGGATAAATAGTCACGAAATCCGGAGGGGGGGGGGACAGGGAAATGGTCATGGAAATGGTCACGCAGGCCTTCATCACGGAAGCCTTCCAGGACGCCCCCCCCCCTTTTCGGAAGACCATTTCCATGCCCATCCCCCCCCGCCCTGTGACCATTTCCAGGCCCAGTCCCCCCTCCCAACCACCCCCCGCCCCCCCCAAAAAAACTTCAAACCCCCGGCGCGAGCGTACACACAATGCGCCTTTTGGCCTCGCCTTCGCCACCGGAAAAGGCAGCACTGTCATCGATTCCTTGTGGAAAGAAGGGTGGAACAACCGTAGCATGGCTGCGGCGAACCATTCATCTGACCGGCCTCCACTCGCCTAAAAAGAGCCGACTGATTGCAGATTTCTCAGCTCAAGCACTTCCGCCTGGGGAGCCCTTGAGACCATTTTTCCAGTCATGAGTCCGAAGAAGGCCGGGACCGGTCGTCCGAGGAACGAGTGTCGTGGAAGAATACAAGTCGCAGGTGGCCAAACACGCGAAGAAGGACAGGTGCGAGTGGGGTGCACGAACAGTGCAATCGACACGTACCAGTTCACGCGAGGGCCTCAGTCTTTTGCAGTCTAATTTTTGTTGGGGTGCATCACCCACTCTACCTGAGGCGCGGCCTGCCACCTGGCATTGACCAGGCACTGAGCGGTCACGGATTCAAGGTGGATGGGGCACCCCTCCTCGCAGGAACCTTTTAAAGGAACCCCCAAAACCCTATTCTAATTATTAAGGCCCCGACATTCATCCCTCAAAGTAGCCCTTATAGAACCCTTTAAGGAACCCTTTAAAGGAACCCCCTATTCTAATTATCAAGGCCCCGACATTCTGCTCGAGGGCCTGCTTGGGCTTCATGTTTTGCTGTCCTGGTCCTTGCTCCTTTTAAACGGGTTCTATGTGGGTTTCTATAAGGTTCCTAAAGGGTTCTATATGGGTTTCTGTAAGGTTCCTATAAGGGTACTCTATGTTTAGAGTTTTGGGGTTCAGAATCCTCTACGCTGCGTCCCGTGATCTGCTTGTACTACTTGGAGGTTCATGGGTAGTTTTAAGTGGGGTTTATGGGCTTGCTTTAAGGGCTCCTTTAAAGGGTTCTATAGGGTTTAGGGTTTAGGGGGTAGTTATAAGTGGGAATATAAGCAGGGTAACTATACTTATAACCCATATTAGGGGACTTATAATCATACTTATAACTACCCACGAACCTCCAAGTATAGGGGTTTGAAAGAAATGAAGAGGGTTGTGGAGTATAGTATAGGCTATTTGTAATCAGGCTCCCTACTCGAGAGTATTGGGTAATCATCGAAGCCCCTATGGTAGCAACCCTAGATCCTGCAGGGTTTCCTCTGTAAACGAAGCCTCACTTCGCAGAGAGTCCCGTGATGTATGCGCACGGGTTTTCCCGACGTCCATTCTTATTCGATACGGCTTAGGGCTCAGGGTTTCATGGTCCCTGGGTTTCGAGACCATATCTAGGATTATGAAAGAAGGGGATCGAGGGATGGAGCTTCAGTATCTAAGTTTAAGGTTTCGGCTGTGTTTTTGTGTTTGGGGTTGACTTGCTGTCAGCCCACAGATCCTGAACCCTAAACGTGCTCGGACCCCTGCAAACCTTAAGCGTCGAAGCCCAAAGCTTTCAACGCAAGACCCTAACATCCCACAGCCAGAACTCAGAACGCTAAGGCCCTAAACCTCAATTTTTTGCTGTGGCATCCCAAACCCCGAAACCCTGAACCCTTAGCCCTAAACTTCAAGCTGCAAGAATATTTGCTAAGGCATCAAGGGAATCATGGGCCTCGGCGACAAGATGTCGTGCCCTGCCCCGAAATGGGACGTGGTTTTAGAGGATGGCATGTTGAAAGTGTGGGATGTACGAGTTACCTATGGCGGGGGTCAGTTTGGGGATTTGATTGGGCTGTATTTGAATCCTCCCAATAAACCTGCCTTTTCGAGGATATACATAAGGAACTCATACCAAGAAGCTCGAAGCTGTAGGTTTTCTAGTGTCCAAGTAGGAATTAAAGCAGTAATCCAAAATTTGCAGAAGCTCGCCCTCCAATGGGTGCTGGAACTCAAGCCCGCACCCTTTGTAAGTCGGGCGTTAGGTAAGGTAGCTACAGTGTGTAATTACGTGGTGCCTTTGGCCTTTCTTACCTCGGCTTGGCGTTCTTTTCTCTATTTAGGGTTTAGGGTTTGGGATCCTATGGCCTGAGGGACGGGGATCCAAAGCGGGTAGGGTGTAGGGCATTGGGAGTAGCCTTTGCGGTTTAGGGTATAGGGTTGGGGCATACTTAGACATTCCTACATCTCGTCCTACCAGAATAAGTCAGGGATTTTCTCTTGGGATCAAAGATTGAGTGCTTCGGATCCCTAGGGTAGGGTTCAGGGTGGACAGACGAAGTTCAGGGTTCAGGGTTTTGGATGTATTCCTGTATTTCCTTTCAATTCCATCCGGGGCGTCATCAATGTCCGTCATCAGCGTCCTAAACGTAACCTCTAAACCCCAAACCTTTAAAAACCCTACCAAGGAAGAGCCACCTGGACCGCTTCAAAAGCTTCGAGAAGCTGCCGCCGAAACAGGCGACAACCCTTGTTCTGCATGTTAACCATCGCTGCGGGTGTTTATGATTTAAGGGCTCTTTAGTGGGCTGCGGCTTTGAGGAACTGCATACCCAAGTTGAAGTAGTAGGGTTTGCGCCTCAGGCTTTAGGGTTTAGCATGCAAGCTTCGAGTGATCGATTCGGGGTTTCTTGTATTTGAAGCTTTCTTTAAGAACTTGCAGCACTTTTCCAGCACAGCTGCCCAAATGATTAGACTGAGGCTCATGCATCATATGCTGAAAACTCCAGGACTTGTACACGCAATTCGCGTACCTGTTGCAAAGAGAACCAGATATTTCCGCAGTTATGTTTTGGTATGTTCAAGTCACCAGAGCACTCCAACCTCGCTCTTACGCTTAACCCGCCTAGCCTCTACACCCTCAACACAAACTCCTACGCCCGGAGCCGTGAGCCCTCTTGAACCCTCCAAGCCCAACTTCAACCCTCGCCCTCCGACTCCTACACTCGTCGAAGCCCCCCCCCCCCCTCAACAAAGGAATCCACATGAATAAAGCACCGCACAAACTGAAGGTCTGAGGATCCTTAGAGGAACACTTTGAAGGGTGCATGGACCTTGCAGAGCTTGAGACACGAGAGGCTGTGCTGGCTCTGTGTGCGGACATGGGCGCCGAAGACTGGAACACACAGGAGGTCGGCAGGTTCAAGTACTTGAAACTTTAGGCTGTCAGGGTTTAGGGGTATCGATCTTTGGACTAAGGGTTTTCGGGTTTTAGGTTGACGGCGCTGAGGGTTTACCCGGGGCTTTTAGCCTTTTTCTTACTGTTTCAAGCTGTGCTTTGGAAACTTTGGAGGTTCACTGTGCTGTGTAACCTGTCTGGGCTTGGGTATGTATGCATGCTCTCTGTCTGTGTATGTATATGTATATGTAGGTGTAGGTACATGTGATTATCTACATGTATGTTCAAATAGATATATATTTATATATACATGTACAGATGACTGTAACTGTGTGCATCTGTATTAAAAGTATTTGGATACACACGTGTAAACAGCCAAAAATGAATTGAAAAATAAGTGGTTATGTGTGAACGTGTGTGTGTGTGTGCGTTTGTTACGCGATGCGCCGTGAAACGCTGCGGTACTAAGATTTTGACATGCGCCACGCAACCCAGAACGTTGGCCGTTTCTGGTGCAGTAGAGCAGTCCGGAGTATGGCTGATTCCGACTCAGGATTTCTACATGTAAGTACAAGCATAGCGCATAAATATTAAAGCTATGTCTCTATATATATATATATATATTCATTTATTTATTTTTTTGTATTTATTTATTTGTTTATTTGTTTTTTGATTTATTATATGCAGTTACATGTTGTGTATGTACATTAACATCATTATATATGTTTGGAGTGAGGGAGGGAGGGAGGGAGGGAGGGAGGGAGGGAGGGAGGGTGAGAGAGTGAGTGTGTGAAGGCGATTCTGTTCTGACTTCAATCATGCGGGTTTTGGTGTTCTGGTTTGCGGCTTATTCGGTGCTCTACTGAGTTAGGGTCCGTTGGGGGGCTTTTTCATCCTATAGTAGACTTTACCAAGCACCTCGAACGAACCCTTCAAGTTGAACAGACTGCAACCAGCCGAAGGACGGCTCAATCCAAATCGTAGTTGCGCACCGAGCCTACTGACCACCACGACTCTTGAATATGCCTTTGCGCCACAGCCCTACAGCCCTTAACACTGGATATTTAGATCAGCGGGGTTCAGTCATACCCCCAGCGGTAAATCCGAAACCACGGGAGGAGACCCGCAAGTACGCGGAAAAGCACCTGCGAATCCTCTCAGGCAGGATCCTGCACATGTGGTTCTCAATCCGGCCTTGAAACCATGGGCCCCCTAGTATGGGCCCTTAACCCTGGGATCCTTATACACTTACTATATACCCTAGATGTACCCTTACAGGTCTCTAGAAAGGCCCAAGCGTCCATATTACGGGCCCGTAAAGCATACGGTGGAAGCCCAGGTAACCCTATGATGCGTTACCGTAGTATAGGGGCCTTAATAATTAGAATTGGGTTTTGGGGGGGTTCCTTTTTCTACTTATAGTAGAACATAACCCCTAAACTATTAAGGCCCCTATATTAAGATGGTTCTTTCAGGGCACTCAATTAAATTACTATTGTTTAGACCACTGGGCTGCTAGAGTCCGTGGCCACAGGTGCAGACATCTTTTGGTCATAGAGTTTTGCTTGAGGTACCTATACTCTGCTTCTACTTGGAGGTTCATGGGTAGTTATAAGTAGGGTTATAAGTCCCCTAATATGGGTTATGAGTATAGTTACCCTACTTATAACCCCACTTATAACTACCCATGAGGCTCTCCAGCTGTGGGCTGGAACACCAATCGACATGTCCCGAGCGATGAAGCCCATGACGTTCGGTTTAGCAAGTACAGGGGGAGTGCATCTGAAGAGTGGACAAGCTTGCAAGGCCGACACAGAGGTAATCATACGGAGATAGTAACAACTGAGACTGTTCCCCAAAAAAGTCCTTAAACCCGAAGCTCCGAAACTCGTCGAGGTCTCTACGGCATCGTGCGGCCCTACGATGACGTGAAGCCTCTCAGTCCCATACAGGGCCATCCGGTTCGGAGACCTTGTGCACAATCCGATTGCTTATGGGTGTTAGGGTCTAGGTGGCAACAAAAGGGACTTGAGCAGACAGTGCTTGGGGGTATGTTATAATGCACGCACATAAGGGGCAAAGCAGGCTATTGTTGAGCTCTGAATGCTGGTCTGGGTTGAGCTTAAGGTCAAGGGCGTAGGGTGGCGCTGGTCAGAATGGTTCACGAAGCTTGCCAGCAACACCCGTCGCGATACCATGGTGATCACAGGGCGGAGGCTTCCGAAAACAAAGACCATTTACTTGGAGGTTCATGGCTAGTTATAAGTGGGGTTATAAGTAGGGTAACTAGACTTATAACCCATACTATGGAGACTTATAACCCTACTTATACCTACCCATGGACCTCCAAGTAGCGCTACTTATCGCTTAAACCCTAGGCCCTATAATCATACTATAATTATTATAAGGAACCCCCAAAATCCTATTCTAATTCTGAAGGCCCCTACATCAGGGTTTTTTACGGCTTTTTGGCTAAGTGGTTCTGGCTTTTGGATAAGTGAGTTTGTCTGTGACACTGACGTCGTGACGATGTACATTTCTAGGGATCCCAATAAAGGACCACCGTCATGAAGTAATGTAGGAGCCTTGATAATTACCTAAATTATTTGGGTGTTCCTCATTATAAATATATCATAATATACACCCAAAGCCCTATTGTAATTATTAAGGCACCTATAGTAGTCATTTTGTTCATGTGTTTGCTTTTGGCCTCGCGTTCCTCAGGCTTAGGAATTCGCGCAATGTTAGGGTTTAAGGGTTCCGTTCGATTGTTCCGCCCCAAAGCGCTGTGGGTTTTTCCGGTTCGGGGTTTCGGCGCCTTTGATTGAAGGCTTGATAAGTGCCTAAACCCCCAAAAGTAGGTAAAATAATGGCCCAAGACCCATAAAAGGCTATTATTTTATAGGCTTTTTTTGCAAGCTTTAAGCAGAAAGAGGCGCGTCAGAAAGGTGACCTACGCCCCCTCATCTTTAAAACCTAAACCCTAAACCCTGAACCCTAAACACTCGTCTATGAGCCCCTTCGGAAACAGTCGACACAGCCTGGAGACTTTAGAGAGCCTCCATGGGAACCCGTATACTTGTTCTCGTAGAAAGCCTTTAAGCAAGAGCCCTTATAGAAGTCCTTCCGAAGCTTTTCGCAATAACCTCCGAAGCCCTACGCCCAAAACGCCCAAAACGCCCAAATCCAAAACCCCAAACCCCAAACCCTAAACCCTATAAGTCCCCAAACACTAACTCCCCCCCCAAACCCCCCCCCCACCCAAAAAAAAAAGAAAGTAAACCCCCAGCTCCTAAACCGGTCAACCTCTCCAAGCCTGCAGCTTTGCCCCAGGTGATGCCGCAGATCCGCAGGTGACGGGTGCTAAGGCCAAGGCCCAGCGCGAGGATTTGGGGGTTTAAGGTTTGGGGTTTGGGGTTTAGGGTTTGGGGTTTACGGGATTTGGCAGGGTTTACGGTCGTTTTTGCGGTTTTCTAGAAATTGGGTGTGCCCTATTTGCGGTGTCATGGTTTTAGTAGGCTCAGTTTTAGAGGTTGTCTTCCAAATCAGGGTGGCTTGAATCGGAAGATGGCTGCGGGTAGTTCTATAAATTAGGGTCCCTTTCCAGGTCCCCAATGTTGTACGGCACTAATTTAGAGAGTTCCCCCTTTACATAGGAACCTGCACATTGAACCCATTTCAGAAGCAAGAAACACTTGTGGCCGAACCTGACGGCCCCAAGACATGCGCATCTGAAAGCAGAGTAGATTCGGCGTAGATGGGTTCAGGGTCTAGGGAGCAATTTCGGTTCCAAGCTCTGTATTCGTGTTCATCTAGCTCTTCACCAATTCTCCAAATTCCAAAGTATGCCTCTCGCGAGGGCCCGATGGCGCTTTCTTACGGCTTGTCAAGCAGACTATACTTTGAATCTCCCAAGCCTCGAACTTAAGGGCACGTAGTTGGCAAGAGCGCATAGAGTGATTATTATGACTCCCACATAGCTACCGTAGCATCGTCCCCCGAGAGCTCTTTCCAAGGTTTCGCCCTCAGCGCCACCCCAACCCCAGTATTTGTAGTATCTACACATAGTTTGCTATGTATGTGTATAGTTGTATGCAGCCTCAAACCCCCGTTCTATATACATATATACATACATATATATATATATATATGCTCGCCCCCCCCCCCCCCCAAGATC